GTGTTAAGTAGACTGCGTCTCCATTTTCTTGAGATTGAGATAAAGTCGATTTGATTTTTAGTGTGTCCATCTGGTGAAATCCATGTCGCTTTGTGGATATCTTTGTGCCTGAACACACTGCCTCCAATCACCAAATCGTTGAATGCGCAGAATTCTGCAAACAATTCTCCATTCTCATTCATTTCACCTAGTGCCTCTCGACCCATGGTTAGTTCTCTTCCTGTGTTGTCCCCTCCCAGTTTGGCATTCATGTCGCCCATCAGAATTTTGATATCGCCAACTGACGTCTTGTCCAGTGTTGATTGAAGTTGTCTGTAGAATTCCTCCTTTTTCTCTTGCTCTGCATTATTTGTAGGTGCATAACATTGTATGATTGTGACCTTTCTTCCTTTTGAGTTGAATCTTCCTGTCATGATCCTGGAGGAGATTGGTTCCCACTGCATGAGAGCCTTCGATGCTCTTGAGGACATCATGATAGCCACTCCCTCAGTGTGCTCGTGGTTGGCGTCTGGGTGACCGGAGTAGATTATTGATTCTCCAGTTGACAGTTTGGAGAGTCCACTCCCATTCCATCTGCTTTCGCAAATCCCAAGCACTTCGATGTTATACCTTCTCATCTCCTTTGCAATCTGGGCTGCCTTACTGGGTTCAAACATCGTGCGGACATTCCATGTCCCCACGTTTACTTTCGCTTTCATCGAGAGAAGACACATCGGCCAATTGGCTTCCCGAAGGCTTTCACCAACTGGCGTCATTTCGCCTCTCCGATTCCAGCGGGGAATAAGTTTGTTTTCATTTTTTATATTTTGTTTGTGCTTTGAAGTTTCTTTAGCGGTTAGATTTGTTTTACGGGGTAGGGTTGCTAGCCCTATGCCCAACCTTCCCTCTTTACCCGGGCTTAGGACCGGCTAGTAACTAGTAAACTAGTTAACCAGGCGAGGTTCAGGTGAAATTAAATGTTGCTATGCACTGAGAAACCTTGTGCGCATTCCTGAAGTAAGCAATGAGCTGCACCTAACGTAAGAGGACTATTGATGCTACCTGGCTGCCTAAACCTCGGTAGATGGGGGGGGGGGGGGGGGAAATCGGACCCATAGTCCATTGATTGGAAGTCATCTACTTAAACCACCGAGTCACAGCTCAGTATGTACTAATTATGTTCTCCTGATTATTTTTCGTGACTTTTTACGAAATCATTAATATTTCTTAAACCTCATTACGCACAACTATCATTTCAAATTTATCCAGCTTTATTATAAAACACAGGAAAGAAGAATTCTGTGTTGCATAGGTGATGGATAATATTGGATTCGGGTATTTATGAGAATAGGAATCAAAAACCTTGCAAACCCTTCACATTTATGCAATATCTTCTCGATAGAAAGTACATGAGAATTGAATATCATATTAAGTATAACAAGATATGTAAGCGAAGAATATTGTTTTTAATTGAACTCATCAGGCTTCATTCTAATATACATAACTTTGGACATATTTGTAAAATATCAACCAATCAAGGTAGTTTGTGAGACAACAACTACAAGGAATACGGATTGTCTCAAACGAACGATAAGTTAGCTAGTTTTGCCACTTCCATGTGTATTTATCAGTTCAATTGCTCCTGTGGAGACAGTTACATCGGGTGTACGACTAGGTAACTTAACCAACGTATTGCTGAACACCTACCTTCGTGGCTGGGTAAAGGACAGGTTAAATCTATGAGAAACTCTATTTTGTCGCATCTGGTTGATACTGATCACAGAGTAGGTAAGATGAAAGCTTTCAAAGTGATTTACCGCATACCACCGAACCTTTCCGATGGAGTTTGAATCCACCTTTTACATATAGCTGAGGCTATAGGAATTAGAATAGACAATCCAAAGCTCTGTATCCAGAAGAAATTTGTATAGCCTTAATCTCTGCCTTGGCCAGGGAGAACTTAATGAATGACCTTACTTATATTATTATTATTATTTGTCCCTTGGATTCCTAATGGAACATAGGTCTTCAATAGCACGCCTCCAATGTGCTCTGTTCTCTGAAATCTTTTGAACCTGGCTCTCCTTTTTATTTTATTTCATTTTGTCACCTCTTTCACACTACTACTATATTCACATTCAACTCTTATTTATTCGCCGCATTCAACCTCCAATATCATACACAACCTTATTATCCTTTTTGTTTTTCAATCTTTGACCTGCATTCTCTGTCTCAGTCTTAACACCTTTTTAAATTGTCGTGTCATTATGTACATTCGTATTAACCTTTTTACAATCCATATTCCTCGTTGTTGTTGTCTCACAAATTACCTTGATTGGTTGGTATTTTACATAAATGTTGAAAGTTATGTATATTGGAGTAAAGCCTGATGAGAACTAGTTGAAAACAATATTGTTCGCTTACATGTCTTGTTATAATTTTCGTGATGTGAATTTTTAGCACTTTAATATTGAATAGGCGACCGAGTACAGTGAGGTATTTTTTCATCATCTAGTTTTTGGTTAAGATAATTATATGAACTCATGTGAAGTAAAATTTACTTGATCTTCTAGTTAACTGGATTTACTTACTTCAGTGACTTAGGTCGAAGAGTTTGGAGTAGAAAGAAATATGATCCTCAATCCTTAGTAGCAATTATTATTATATCACCATTGGTGATTCTTAACAGGGAGGAAATTCGTATATGTCATTTTTTACATGTATCACATTTACATGATAAATATCTTTCAGTATACCCATTAAAACAGAAGAAATAATTCAGCAAAAAAAATCTTTTTCAAGGAATTTATTTATCAAACGCTGTACAATTGTACATATATTAAATTTATAATCAGGCTTAGAGTTTCAAAGAGAAGAGGTGAATCAGTTGACACGGTTATGAACCTCCATCGACTGAAATGGTTAGGACATGTGTTACGTATGCCTAGTCACCGATTGCCTCATCATACAATGTTGGCCGAAGTAGATTCAGGTTGTAAAAAGGCCCGAGGTGACAAGACTAAAACATGGCACCAATGTATGAAGTATTTGATTGTTGGTTTGAGCCATGAGGGACGATACAGACTAGGTGGTTGGGGTCCATGGGACAAGAGGAACTAGTGATTAGAGGCTCGAGGTAGTATGGCTCAGAACCGATGTTGTGGCGCGGATGTATACACATATTATCCCCATCTTAACGACGCTATACCGAATCTCACCATTTTCTCATTCTTCCTTTTTCTCTCTCCGTACTTTATATTTCTTTCGGCTGAATTTTCTTTTCTCCATCTTCTACTTGACTGCCTTTCTACTTGATGTACTGATATGAGGTGTGGCAATTCAAACCGTGACGCAGTAATGCATGATCCTATGTTGATAGATGATGGTGATGAATCACTTCTGTCAGGCAAGAACACCAAACATTGTGGGATTCATTTCGTGTGCCCTAAATCTTCCACATACTAAATTTGAAATTGTTCTTTGATACTTGTAATTCCTCGTTGCTATTTTTACAAGATTGAATTGCTCGACCTATGTTGGCAGATGGCCTCCTCTACCGGAATACCTCGATACTGCATGAGTATTCATTATGTTTTACTCATCTTGGTGACTAACTGGAATCCATGACGTAGGTTTTGTCAGTAAGGTAAAATTTGCAAGATATATAGAAATAAATGGGAAAACTGAGATAGCTGTAGTTTGGGAGACTAATATTGATACTGTGTGATGATTTATGATGAATGAAAATCTGGTCAGCAGTCGGGTTTCGTATTTCAGTTGGTAGAGCAACGGGCCGAAAACCCGTTGGTCGCTGCTCCAAATCCTGCCACGGGCTAAGTTTTCATTTCACCTTCAGTCATCATCCAACATATGGAAGGTATTTGTGAAATCAGTGTTACGCATTCATTTCAAGAAAACATGACAGCGCTAAGTAGCAATATTCTGATAAGACAGGTGCAAAACAAGTTCGTGTAGTATGGGCGCTAATCAATGGTTGTAAATAAAACGAAAACATAATAATGATAGTAGTATGAAACAAAGTAAATTTGAAGCAAAATAAAACTGGAGACATCTTAGACAGCTTGACACGAGAGTAATCAATGTTCAAGATATTCAGACACTCTGTTAGTTAATCACGTTAAGGACCATGGTAACGAAATTGTTTTTATGTGCATAGCTCTGGGTTCAAGTTATGAATTGCCAAGGTTTCTGCAATATATATTAAATAAAGAGGTGTGTTTGTCTATAATATCGAATGAAGTATTCGATATATGTATGCGTACTCATACCTTCCTACGCTAGCCTTGATCGACAAGCTCCTCATTGTGTCCGAAGATAGTGCTGACTGAAAATAGAGGTGAACCTATGATGCAGACAGAGTCACCTCCAGGTTGCGGTACTTCTTGCCCTTCCTATTGAATTTAGTTCCATCTAAATGAAAAGGAGAAAACCCTAACTAGACAGTTGATTTTATTCGAACTTGTAGGTTTATGGGAGTTTATGTATTGATTTCAGGTTGGCATTTTACCATGGGGAAACATTGGAAATCTGGGAGCACTGGACATCTGTATCATCTTAGTAAGTGACTTTTCAGTAGTGCGCACTCACGACCTTCAGATTTTGTGGCCAACACGTCACCATTGAGTGACTGGGTCCGAATCAAATGGTCCATAATTCGTGATCCTGTCAGTTCATGACGCAGCGCGACCTCTATCCGATGCTGCCGTTGAGTAATTGTCCTCATGTCCGACTTGGTTGGCTTCAGCGGTATTTTTGTGATTACTATCCTGTCATTTTGGACAGTTATTTGCTTGTCCTTCAGATGAAAATCATTCAGGGTGAAATTAATATCTAACTAGCCTTAAGATCTTGTAGTACAGAGTGACTAACTTTAAGGACGCTGATTGACATTCACCTGCTGCTGCTGTTTTCATTATTATAAGTATATTTAACTTTAGTATGTTTTTCAGTTATTTGCACCTGTCTAACTGTATACCCTCCTGCTAATTTCTCTTCTTCAGTAGATAAATCTCCAATATTTTTCCATTCACACAGTGTATCAAAAGATGGGTGTCAGTCTCCTTTATCCGAGGTAAGTCCAACTCAATTAATTATCAGAGAATGAATTATGGGTTGTAGGGATCTATTAGTTTGAAAGTAGCCTTCATCACGGATTGACTTCAGTCGAAGAACCATGAAAAATCTGGGAGCATTGAATAACATCCTAATTTGTGACTCCTTAACACTGTGCACATACTCCGCGTGAGATTGAACCCAATGAGTGAATTCGAAAAATACAACCTAGAATATACACAAACATTCCTTGAAGCTGAAACTTTATTAGGCAACCGCTAAGCACCAACCTGTAATGTTGTATATAGTTTCGATGATCTTTGGGCAACTTGAATTCGATTCACTCCTCAGTCGCTTTGTGTTAGACTGGAAAAAGGTTAAACAATTGCATCAGTCCATGACCTCTTCGATTGTCGATCTGAGTCGTGAGGGAGAAAAGTGATGATGATATGGCTCAGAATTGTTCTCAGTGAAGCAGATGCATCCAGATGTTATCTTCATCCCTATCGTCATAGCGAAATCAGTTAATCTCCACAGACCTCAAAATTGAATTAACGTAGTGCTCATTGGTGACTAGCTTCAAGAGGTGATTCTTGAAGTTCCAGTGAGAAGTAACCGATGGGACCAACCAAGTCGGAAATGAGGAGAGTTACTCAACGATGGGATTGAATGGAGGCGGCACTATATCGTGAAGTGTGAAATATGGACCACTGAATGCTCAATGGTAACATGCTGGCCACCAAACCTGAAGGTTCCGAGTCCTATCCCTGACTTGGTCATGGATGCGCCCTGCTGAGGAGTCACGTACTAGGACGAAACAGCTGTTCATTGCTCTCAGGTTTCCAATGTTTCTTCAACTGATGTTAGTCCATGGCAAAATATCAATCTGAAATCAACAAACCCCCTGACTTCTTCGACTTTGCTAACTACATAAGCGATGTCAACGTGTGTTGTAAATGTATGTTAGCACTGGACGTCACATCGCTCTTCACAAATGTCCCTTTGATGAAAACAATCTGCTTTCTACGTGATTATACTGAGATCAAACAGCTTGAAGTTAAGATTCCTAAACAATATCTAGATGAACTGCTCCTACGATGTATCTTTAATATACAATTTAGACTCAACAATGAACTTTATCGACATACGGATGCGGTAGTAATGGTTTTATCATTGAGTCCTCTCCTAGTTGATTGTTTCATGACCAGTTTGAAGAACAATAAACTACATGCACTAATTGACCAGTTCTATCTATTTAAGAGATGAATGCATAACACCTTTATCATCTGTGAGGAAAATAGTAACCCTGAAGAAATATCAAAAAGTTCAAAAATTATTATTATTGCTATTGCCCCTTGGGTTCCTAGTGGAACATAGGGCTTCAGTAGCACGTCACCATTTCACTCTGTTCTCTCCAGTCTTTTCAACCTGATTCCACAGCTCTCTAGAAGCTTTCATTTCTTCTTCACATGATCTCCTCCATATCACCCTCCCCTCGGACCACCAAGTGGTCAGCTTATCGTTTCCTTTGTTTCTCCTCTTTTGTAACTAAGTTCCCTTCACTATCTTTCATCGCTTTCATCTGTGTTAATCTCTTTCCAGATAGCAACCTGGTTATTTGATATAGCCTTGTCAGGTCTCTCCCACCTGCAGCCTGTTCTGCTTCACTTGCCAATCTGTCGTAGAAGTGTCTTTTGCCTTTGCGCACACTCTTCTTCACTCCACTGTCCAGTGTGGTGTTCTATAGGTTGTGTTCAGTTCCTCTTTTCGTTGTTCACCCCTGCACTGCACTGCACTGGTTCATCTTCTGCTTCACCATCTTCCTCTCTCTCCTCTCCTCTATCAGTTTCCATGTGTCCGTAGAGATCCATTCCTTGTCTTGTCTCTTCTTCCTTCCTAACACGCTTATGCAGGTTTCCTTCCATGTCACTTTCACACAGTTCCAATGTTCTTCCACACAGGTTTCTTCAGCAATGTTGCTCAATGTCTCACATTTTTTCCTCATGACCGACGTGGAGATGTCCTTTGTAGTTTCGTCCTTCAGTTCAGTTCAGTTTCTGTTCTGGGTGTCCAACTTGAACTGTGGTCGCCTATCACCAGCTTCTTTGAATTGAAGGCTTCAACTTGATTTTCAAGGCAGGTTCCTTGCACTAGATGGTGAGTGGTGTGAACCACCTACATCTGCTCCCCTTCTTCATCTGATCTCCTATCCAGTAGGCTGCGTCTCCACTCTCTTCACATTGAGATGAAGTCGGTCTAATTTTGAGTGTGTCCTGGTGTCTGGTAAAATCAAATCCATGTCACTCGCTTTGTGAATATCCTTGTGTCTGTGAACACTGCCTCGCCTCCAATCACCAAATCGTTGAATGCACAGAAGTCTACAAACAGTTCTCCATTCTCATTCATTATTTCACTGAGTGCTTCTCGACCTATGATCGGTTCTCTTCCTGTGTTGTCTGCTCCCAGTTTGGCATTCATGTCACCCAACCCCTTAGAATTTTGATGTCGCCAACTGGGATGGGGTCTTGTCGATTACTGACTGCAGTTGTCTATAGAATTCCTCCTTCTTTTCTTGGTTTGCATTATTTGTAGGTGCGTAGCATTGTATAATTGTGACTCTCCTTCCTTTTGAGTTGAACCTCGCTGTAATGATCCTGGAGGAGATTGGTTCCCACTGCATGAGAGCCTTCGATGCTCTCGGGGACATCATGATAGCCACTCCATCACGCAGTGTGCTCATGGTTGTCGTTTGGGTGACCGGAGTAGATTATTGACTCTCCAGTTGATAGTTGGGAGAGTCCACTTCCATTCCATCTGCTTTCGCAAATTCCTTGCACTTCCATGCCATACCTTCTCATCTCCTTTGCAATCTGGGCAGCCTTGCTAGGTTCAAACATGGCGCGGACATTCCACGTCTCCACGTTTACTTTCGCTTTCATCGAGAGAAGATACATCGGCCAATTGGCTTCCCAAAGGCTTTCACGAACCGGCGTCATTTCGTCTCTGCAATTCCAGCGAGTGATAAGTTTATTTTTTATATTTTGTTTGTGCTTTGAAGTTTCTTTAGAGGTTGGTTTGGTTTTTCGGGGTAGGTTTGCTAGCCCTATGCTCAACCTTCCCTCTCTATCCGGGCTTAAGACCGGCTACTTACCTAGGCGAGGTTAGTTCAAAGAATCATAAGTCAATTAAATTTAACATGGAAACTGTAGATAACTCGAAATTCCACTTTTTGGACGTTTTATTGAAAAGAAGACATGATGGTTCTTTAAGGAGATCGATTTACGGGGAAAAAACCTAGAACGATCAATATACTCATTTTTTAAACCAGATTTCCCACTGTTCAGGAAAACAAATCTAATTCATTCACTATGCACACGAATTAGAAGAATTTATGCGCATCATGTAGTAAATGAGGAGCTGGAAATACTTCAAAGAATGTTAGTCGAGAACGGTTATCCTTCAAGATTCATTGAGAGGAACATGAAGCCTAAGAATTTCATAGAGAAAGCCCCTTCGGTTCCTAAAAATTTATTGTTTATGAATATTGGGTTCAAGAGAGATGCTGAAGAATCGACTGTGCAAAGCACTAAAGAAGACTTTCTTTTCCGCTCAGCTTCGGATTGTTTTTTCCAGTCAACAACTGATTCGAGGAAGTGTAAAGGATAAACTATCGCTTTAGGCCACCTCCACGTGTGTTTACCAATTAACCTGCTGTTGTAGAACTGACGAAATACGCCTCACAAAGCGTATTCCATCCAAACTCATCTCCGAACACTATCCTGTACGGCTGTCTAAAAGACAGTGTAAAGCTCTTATCAACTTCATTTTTGAACGTTCGGTTATCTCTGGTCACTTAACTCCACGATAGTCTTCTTCCTAAGTTATTTATAGAGTGTAGGGAAACATTTTAAAGTAAAGGCGTATTTGCCACCTGAACACAACAGAAGCTCTGTTAATCCAGCACTACAAGTCTGCCCCTTGTGTTCATAAAAGATACAATCAATCTCTAATTTTTCCTTGGTTGTGATCTCCCTAAGACTATTTATTCATTTCTATGTTTGATGACCTTCTGGCCGTTATCACCTTATGACTTTATTGACGGTTTTTGATGACCTTGTATTGACCCATTACCCATTGATGGATATATATATTTTTTGTTTTACCTATGATTACGACGTACAGCTTTTGAAAATGATTTGTAGAAAAGAAAACTTTCTTCGCTGAATTGTCTTTTATTAATTTCATAATTGTTTCTCTTTCCGACTTTTTACGACTTTATTATTTCGCTATTTCTTATCTTAATGTGCTGACTCCGGATGTAGCAACTTTGACCGTCACATAATAATTCCAAGTCTCCCACACTGATCATCATCAATAGGGCCAGACAGTACTGCATAACGGTCCAAGTTGCCACACTTCATATCAACATGTCAAGTAATGAGGTGAAGGAAGAGAGGAAAATCGGTAAAAATCAGTAGAAAGTAGTAAAGGGGAGGAAGGAAGAATAAAATAATGAATTTAGTATATCGGTTAAGATGAAGATAAAGTGTAGATACATATGCGTCATTGACATCAATTCTGAGCCATATCATCACCTAGAGTCTCCAACCACTGATTTCTGTTGTGACGTGGATCTCAACTGGCTAGTCTGTATCTCCGTAATTGGCTCAGACCAACAGTCAAAGACTTCACGCACTGATGCCATGTTTTAGTCTGGTCGCTTCTAGCCTTTTCCCAATCTAGACGACTCAGACGGTGACTAGGCATGCGTAACATACCTCCTAGCCATCTTAGTTGATGAAAGCTCACAATCGTATCAACTGACTTTCCTCTCCTCCCTAAAACTCTAAACTTGACTTCTGCGTTACTTACATTGGAACACTATAGAACACAGGGGTTAAACACTATTCCACATTGATACTGATTGATTGATTTACCTCTCATTAAGTATAACCGACTGATTTGATGGAATAAAGATAATATGTTCCCAAACTAAATGTTAATTCAATGAGAAACAGTTAAATCCTATCTTACTATCACTAATATGTTCAATAAATCTTAACCACATTCATTGTGTTAAATATCTTGTGTATAAGTAATTCATTTTGTTTATAACTTTATTTATCGATTCTTTTTTGGAACCTTTTTCGTAAAGAAATCAGTTTTTTAATGACCGATAGTCAGGCTATCATGTCAGTTCAGTCAACACTCACTTCTTCGGTTTTACACGAATGAACATTGAACATCTATCTTGTAACAATGCGAAATCCTCTACATTTGAACTGTGACCAGGTTACTGAGACTGTAAAGAAGAACAATAGTTATCAGTTATGCAAATCATTTTTAAAGTATTGTAGTAGGAGAGCTAAGAATTGCATCAACTATGTAGGGTATATTGATGATATTTAACTATTTAGACCTCGAAACTTCCAACCCATTCGAAACCAATGTCCACTGGCTGAATATAATTCCGCTCATCGACGGGTATTATTACCATCTATCTATCACCTTAGTGTATAACTTATGTCGAGGTGCTGTACCAAATATACATTTGGTTCCCTATTTTCATGATGAAGTTGCATGTTGATACTGATATCCTCAGAATAAGTAAGTTTCACTCATGAATCTCTTCGTTTAGCCTCTGAATAACCAAATGCAATCTTGACGATCATTTTAACTGTTACGAAAGGTGACAGTTGTGCATGGCTTCCTTGTTGTCATGAGATACGATTGTCCAAAATAGTCGCTGCCACACTTCTTAGTCCTACTACCAGATAACAAGTGATCGACTGATTTCAAAATCTAATAATTGTTTAGTGTCCTCTGAAGCTTTGACGTTTGTTCTAGGACGTTTCGTCACTCGGTTAGGGCGACTTCATCGGCATTTACTTCTTTATCAAGTGATTAAAAGTTCAAGAATAAAGCTCAAAGCTAGGAGAACAACAGACAGTGGTTATCCTTCGGCTGAGTTACAAATCTCTACTATCTCATATCCAATCGTCGCAACCATCTGATTTGTTTATAGACGTAAGAAGCAATTCTGTTATCATATACCGTTTATCTAAACAGTAGGTGTATCGCGCATTTTTGAATTAATATTCTACGAAACGTGCGTGAACTAATTGCGCAATTCATTTGTAATTTTATTAATTTTTTTGTGTGTATTCTAGGCATGCTGCTCACTTTCCAACAAACCATTGGTTGGGACATATGATGAATCGCTTTTCAATCAATTGGCAGATGAAATTCGTAAAACCTTGGAAATTGACTTATTCGGTGTAGACTTGATATATGAGACTGATAATGCAAAACTCGATTCTTCATCAAAGCCAACAAAATATGCTATCATTGACATAAATATATTTCCAAGCAAGTATTGTAATAAAATTTTATTTCATGCATTTAAATTCCTTGATAAATTTGGACAAAGCAAGAAAGGGTAGATTTTTGGAATAAAACGATATAATTCTGTATACAGAGATCAGGATGAAACCGTTTTGTAGCAAACGGTCCTGTGAAGCGTAATAATCCAGACATTTTCTGTACGTTTATTATTTTAAGAACACTCAAGATTTCAACCTGATATCCTGTGTCTACGAGGTATCTAGTAGTTGTACTAATTAGAATTTTACTTCCTTTCAAGCGTAGACTTTTGGGGATATGCTGAATGAACCGAATGGATGCTTTTTTTCCTCAGTTCTACCAATGTACTTGCTACCGCAGGTGCATGTAAATTCATTAAGTGCAGTTGGAGGTGACATGAGCAGGGTATTTATCCAATTTGGACTGGTTCAGTATCGTATACTAATGCAATTTTAGCTGCAAAGAAGCTTCATTGATTCTTGTGCCTCGTCTCTTGAATGTGGCATCTCTATACCAATGCAAGGTGAATAAAGACCTTCTTCTTTTCAACAGTTGGGTGTTTATTTCTCTCGATCTGTTTTTTTCCATAATCCATAATAAATCTCTTAAGATATCTATTCTTTCGGAGAGAATTCTCAACAATATGTAGTTCTTCCTCCAACTTGTCCTCAGAACATACGTTTTTAGCTCTGTTGTCAAGTGTTTTGACTAGCTCATGCTTTTATGAATGGTCTTTTCAATCGTACCATCAATTCTTATATTGAAGTTCAAAAAAGCTGAACTCGTCGTTGTACTTATATTCGATCGAAAATTTAATGTTAGGATGAGTCTCCTTACGCTTATCAAACAGCTCAATTGCATGTTTCATTTAATTACAAACCTACGATAATGTGTCGTTCCTTTGATAACTGAACTCAAGGGCGTCTGTTCGAGATAACTCATGAAGATATGAACCTATGGCCACTTCAACAGTCTGTCGATAAAGCTGGTTATTGAAAGTGAACTGGACATCTTTTGTACAAAGGAGTAGTGGTTGTTTCATCTCGATTTCGAGCAAGGGCAGTAGATCAGTTTGTTGACAGATTATATCAATTGTTTCACTTACTGATATATATGAAATATCTTACTTACTAATAACCATTATACTTTTAGACTGTATGCAGCTGAGGAGTATTGGTGAAATAAAATGGTGATATCATTTTATTCTACAAATCTCGTTCTTCTTGACTTGTCCGAAAATTTTATTGAAAAACATTTGAGAATAATCAAGTCATTTCATAAAAAAACGGTGGAAGATAATAAGAGGTCGATTCATATGAAATATGTAGCACACTTCGAACAATTTCATCACACAGAAGTAGGTATTTCACAAAAGACAATGAAAAAGCTAGAAAATATAAAGGGTCAGATTAATAAAGACCGAGGGATTACGGCAATAGACCCTTTACAACAGTAGCCCAAGCTTTCGTACATTTCAGGTTCCTATAAATCTCAGAGTCTTTTGTCAGCTGGTTTTGTAGATTCTTCACAGATATGTTATAACGTGACATTTATGAACCATCCGTATGATATGTTTAGCACAGACGACTTGCACCAAAGTCGAGAGAGTCACGTGATCAAATGTTTTTCATAGCCACTTGAAAGTATGCCCTGATGAATAGTCTTGGTTCATTTGTGAATAAACATGTGTTTGGATCGATAAATAAAACAGGAAGTGATTGATATCCACAGCGTTTCCTGGTATTTTGACCTAACATACAGGGTATGTCTTTCCAGTGGCTGCTTTATTGATCGAACCACATATTAGTCAATCACGAAAGCTTAGTAGGCTTCGGTGTTCCCGCCTAAGTGTAATAAATGTGTTTAATTGTTTCAGTCATCACTGTCACGCACTCCTGTTTCAAAGTGTCATCACTTCATTTCCAAAAGTGACTAACTTATGACCCCCCAACCCACCCACCCAAAGTTGATAATTTTAATACTATCTGTGTAGACAGACCGTTTTATGGATTAATCTTACCCCGTGACCATGCAATACGTTAAGGAAATCGAAATAATCACCTGTGGCACAGGATACACTTCGGCATAGGGTGATCATCAATAGAAATAACGAAGATATAAATCGCAGCTACACTTTAAACGAGCTACATTTTCCTTGACACAGAGGATATGACATTTTCATTTCGAACCTGTTACGTGTAATGACAACCATAAACAGTGTTATTATTTATTCGAACTTCTAGTTTTCCACTTTTATTCGGGATCAGGTTGATCGACCTCCATTGGGTACCTGTGTGGATGCCTCAATTTCGCCTGATTTACTTATTATTTTGTAATTTGCTTGGTGGAATTCAAGGTGCTCGTTCCCTCCTATTTGGCACTCGTGCGTTTGAAGCGACGACTACTAGGTTCGAGTCTCAGTGGGAACAACATCACTCACTGGAGTGCAGGTTCGTTCAGCTGACGAGTCTTAAATAGGATGAGATGTTCATCATGAATTCTACTACTAACCATCACCAAGCAAATTGCAACACAGTGTTGCCCCCAAATCTAGATTAAATTGCTTGGCGTTCAAACATCTTCGGTTCAACTTCACACTATCGACTACAATGATAGATAGGTTTCAAGTTGTTATTCATCGAAGACTGACATCAGTTGAATAACAACTTGAAACATTTCCAAATCTCCACAACCCCCTCAAAATTTGATAGATAGGTTGATGGGGAAGTAAGAAGGTGTTCTTTCTTCAAAATTTTTTTCTCTTAGGTTTACAATTACTAGATTGCCACTGTATATTAATTCCCCTATGCTTGCATCATATTTTTCAGGCTATAAGAACGTAGATGGATTTTTATTCTACTTAGAAAATTTGATCAGACGAAAACTCTCCTTGCCTTTACTTTCTAAGTAAACTTAGTCTCTTTTTTAAAGTGAAATTTCCTTTTGATTTGCTAATCTTAACAGTAATAGATTATTAATTATCATTATTATTATTGATTGTTATCAGCTTTACACCGGATGGATTATTTTTACGATTTGTTTTTGTGATAATTCTTTTTTTTCTACAGAGTTTTTGCTCGTCCTTATTGAAAGTTTTTACAATAAAATTAGTTTTTGTTAACTTATTCGCCAACATGTATCTATGTATTGTAAGATTCTTGATTTTTGATGCACTTTTGTAACTATACTACTTAATACTAGTGAAGAGTAGTATGATTTTGTATTCATATATACATAAATCGATTATAAACGATTCAATGAAGCAAAATAAACTTTTTTTCGGAAAGTATCAGGTATGTAGCACAGACGGCTTTTTCAGAACTGAAGTAGAAATGACGCAGAATCTAGCACATTGGTGCATCGGCCTAAGTTCCCACACAGTACTAAACAAACAAAAAAATTATATCAAAGAAGATAAAGGAGTATGAGAGAATAACCAATCTGAGGAAAAAGTTTATCGCAGACATTCAAGGGTTAGATGTCGAAAAGTGAGTCCATTTGTACCGCTTTGACTGATTTTCAGCTGTCACCGAGAGCCCTTAACCACTGATTCCCTTCGTCTCAGGGTCCCCAACCAGGCAGCCTACACTTCCTCACACGGCTCAGACCAACAGTATCAGACTCCATTGACTGGAGCCAGATCTTGGTCTGGGCATCCTGAGTCCTCTCCCAACGTAATACAGCTTCTCCAGCACGCCACATCGGGGTAGGTGATGTCTCTCGGCATGCGCAGTACATGTTCAAACCATCTCATTCGACTAAAGTTCACAACCTCATCAATCGACTTGCCTCTCTTGTCTAGTACCCTTCATCCGACCCCAACATTGCTCACACTATGATTCCACCAAACGCGAGCGAAGCTACGAAGACATCTGTGATCAAAATCCTGTAGTCACTTGATGTCTTGTACCTTGTTTGCACTAACCAGGCGAAGGGTAATAGGCAAGTCGATTGATGAGGTTGTGAACTTCAGTTTTGTGAGGTGTGGCAACTTAGGCCGATGCACCTGTGTGCGAGATTCTACGTTGATTTTGTCAACCAGCTAGTGTCACTAACCACTTTTAGTATCCTTCTTTTATGGATGCATACCCAATCATTTTACACTTTTATAGTCATTTCAACAGAACCTCTGAAGGCGTTATTCTTATCTGTAGGAGTATATTGATGCGACATTTTACAACAGTAGGCATCACAGAACACTCAGTTGAGTGTAAAGTGACTGAAAGAATAAGTGGGAAAATACAACCAGTTGCCGATAAGAATTATCACGTCAAGAATATTGAGTGGCTTTTTAAAAGTATGAGCTATTATAAAAAGAACAATCCTAAGGCTTTCTTTTATCAATCTTAAGTTTGTAACATACTGTCTAAGCAGACGAGCCATTTTTCTTAATAATGACCGGAAACCTCACATGGAGGTATGGATCATTGGTTTAGGTATTGATTTTCAACTACGGACTCGTAATACCCTCAACCTTACGAGGTTTTAGCAGCCAGGTAGTATCATTAACCCTTACACAATAGGTGTGACTCATTGCCTATCGAACAAGTGTGTACAAGGTTGCTGAGTGGATTTTAATTTTCGACTCGACATTCATATATTCTGTGCACAACTCAAACTTCAGTGGAATCTCATAAATTTCCATCGAATTCTTCACAGATATATGCTACTATATATTATTCGTCCACACAAACGGGTGGATTTCAAAAGCTTACTAGAATCTGTACGCTACACCTCAACAATTTCCAAGGTTTAAAGGTCAACGCACCAAAGACAAATTGGGCTAACGCATTAAGGATAGAGTGAGCAACTTGGAGACCACCATCAATTTTATCAAAAGAACCTAGTCGGAAAGCACATTATTCAAGACGCTACTTTTATCAGTACTTGTGTTTTATTATGAAAATTTTATAAAGGCAAAGGCAATGCATCAACAGCTGTATAACATTTATCATACAAATCACCATATTGTTCATCACGTGATATGAAAACGATAGGTGTAGGGGTAACTGAAGATACACACGCACCGAGGTCAAATTTCGATGGAACATAACAATAGGGGATATCATATTCCTCACATACCAGTGGCACATGTGATATTAGATCAAACGGGCTAGTATCACCAGCTAACAGGACGATACCCGATGCACTTTTTTTCTCCACCGCTTTCAAGATCGCCTTAATCCCAACATCGGTTTTTTTTACACGTTTAGCTTTCCGAGCCAGCTTATACAAACGTTTTGTTAGTTTTTTTGAAGCTAAGGGCTGAGAAAATATCCCCACGTATTGTATTTGTTCTTCATAAGTGAGTTCTGGACGATCTTGGTCAGGATAGGAATCGTCGCTCACTTTGACATTCATTGTTCCCAAGTAGAATAAATAGTCCTTTGATCAGTAGAACGCTTAGTCTGTAATAGAAATAAACTTCTTTTTAGCATTCAGTATGAGCAGATTCTTAGAAACAAGTTTTAAATTCAGTTTCCGTTCTCAGTACTTTTGAACACACCATCGGCAAAGTGTGCTCAAAATCATGTCTACTTGAATCACACTTGTTACAGATATATCGAAATTTCCTCTCGATATACAGTAGTAAAATGTATGACTGGCCCGTACACCGCCTTTAGTCCGACTCTTTTTTTTCTTGTTTTCACACACAGCACAATTTGTGACTTTTTTCGCAACCGGTATGTTCACAATTCAGAACTTCAGCTCTCTTCTTGCTAAACGGTAGAGCTGTAGCTCATTGGTTCAGGGAGATGACTTGCAACCAATGGGTCGCGGGTTTGAGTCCCTCGTCACCTACCGAGATTTGGGCAGCTAGGTAGTATCATTGGCACTCACACAGTAGCTGTGGCTCATTGCCTACTGCACGAATGTGCACAAGGTTGCTGAGTGTAACCATTTTTTACCTTTACTTGTTAAATGATTGCTTAGTTCACCTGCAATTATGAACAGAGTATGTTTCAGTGAATAATCATAAACATTGGCCAAATCACTAACAGTCGAGTTGTAGAAGTTACTGTTCTCTCTGAAACACTTGCTTATGCACCAATCAGAATAAGAATCACAACTAGAAGAAATTCACTACCTCAGATTAACAAAGTACTTTTTTAAAGCATATTTTCCGTTGCATTTTATGATAATGATCCAACTCAATCCTATGCAGTAGTACGATAAAAAAGGGGGTGGTTGTAGTAGGTAAGCCAGAACTTAAATGAGTGCTCAACCCAATGGGCTACATTTTCATACACTTGAAGGAACAAATCAAAGTATTATTTCGAAGAAATATTTCTCGGTTAGTTATTAACAACATGGAGAAACTGGTATTACTGCACAAAAGTCAAAATTGCCAAATGTCACATCGATTAATCAAGATGAAGACAGATATGTCAGGAGGAAAAATGGATAGAAAGCCGTAACCAAGAAAGAAACAACTAACTAAATATGACATGACGATTAGGCGGGAGATAGTGCATGGATGCGTTCGTGTCACCAGGATCAATACTGAGCAATTACACCTACGGCTGCCATCACCGATTTTGGCTGTTGGATGGACTTCAAACGGGAAGTCTGGATCCTCCTTCACAGTTCAAATCAATAATTAAAGACTGGTACCACCTTTTACCCTAATTACCTTTAACTTTTCGCCAACCTGCTCCCACTTTAGGTAGCGTCGCACGTCGTGGTAAACCGTGACTAGGTACGCTTAACATGACTACAACCCCTGTCAACTTACCTCTTTTGCCTAAAATAACTAACGTTTGGGTTGCTGATATGGTGGTTCTACAACAAATAGTCACTTCTGCGAAGGCAACGGTAACTGGGAGCCTGTAAATTCCGTATGTTCTCCAACCTTAGTGACCATGATTTACAGTCAATTAGTAAAACAGCGAACTGCTACAGTCATTTCCATAATTAGTGGGCACTTTGATATTTCCCCAGCACCATAGACTTTTTTAGATACTGATCTATCACGCAAGATCTAACTCCTCAAGAAAGTAGTCAATGCACTCAACCATTTGACTATATTCTCCTACATGGCCCCAACGACAACTAATCCTGAAGCAATAGTTTGGCTTTGGATGGTGAGGAACGCATCTCAAACATTTCTTAAACAGTCACTTAAAGTACCTAGAAAACTGAATCTTCTCAGTATCCTTATCTAACAAGACCATGTCATCTGTAAGTTCTAGATCCATCAAGAAATTTCAAGTGATGGGATTGATCTCTGTGAAGTTAAATGAAGAGAGACACCTGTAGAAGCATAATTATAACCATTTTAAATAAAAATAGAGCGTAGACAACCACCATGGATACTAGATCAAGGCATACAACTGACCTTATGCTTTATCATGGGCTCTAACGCTAGAAGGTGTTCGAATATAGCCCTTATCAGAATAATGAACTTACACGACACCCTTTTTCAGGCGAGACGATCGTGTTGTCGACTGTTGTAGACATGTTTATGGAGGTGATTGGTGATAGATTTGTATCCCTAGTGGAATTAAAACGAGGGGATTAACTAGGCTAGCACTATGATTTCTGTAACCGGAATAACCACACCAGCCCATGAGTCAGTTGACTGAGGAAATGTTGGCAAGGATTCAATAGATTCACTTGATTTCAGATGTCACTACTGTATTCAACTAGTCAGAGTTCGGTTGTTGTCGTTCTAAAAATAATCGATAGCTGATCACGTTGAGTAGCTTAGCTTGGGGCCGGGGACCGGCCTAGATCCTTTTCTGTCTTAAACATTTCAGTTATGTATGTTGTTGACAACCTTGATATTCTCACTTTAACTTTGATTTCAACTACTGTTAATGTGACGATATTCATTTGTGTATATCTTTTTCAGCGACTATGTTGGTAGTTTTAGACTGGACCAATATACATTCACAGGTCCTTTAACGTTACTAACCGTTTTTAGTGTTTCGACTATTATGGGCGAAAATTCGAAAATGCCATACATCCGATTTATGAAATCTGTTGGTGAGTTTAAGTCCCACCTAAAATTTTTATTTTTTTTTTTATTCGTCCTTTGGGTTCGAAGTGGAACATAGGGCTTCAGTAACACGTCACCATTTCACTGTTCTCTCCAGTCTTTTCAACCTGGTTCCACAGCTCCCTAGAAGCTTTCATTTTTCTTCACATGATCTCCTCCATATCACCCTCCCCTCGGACCACCAACTCGTCGTTTCCCCTTTGGATTCCACTCGATGGCCTGGCCTGGCGCGTGATGTCCCTAAATGGTCTTCTCAGTGTATGCACAATCCAGTCCATCTCCACTTTCTTCTGCAGATTTGTTGGGCAATGGGTTCTTGGTTGGCTTGTCGCCAGACCAGAGTTCCCTGTTGCTTATTCCTATTATTCTGGCCATCTGATCTTCAGTATCAAGTGAGTGTGGGCAGCAGCTGTTGATGTATATCTGTAGTTTGTTGGAAATGTTTTTCGTAACGCGCCAAGTCTCTGAATCATCACATAGAACCACTGACTTGACTGAATTAGTGTTGGAAATTCGGATCTTGTTCACGATTTATGCTGAGTGCAGTGCAGTAGATCTCCACACTGATTTCAGACCAATGAAGGCCAGTCTTGCTTTTCCGATTCTAGCTTTGACATCCTCATCTGTGCCACCGCCTGTAGTTGAAACGATGCTGCCCTGCCTACGTAGGTGAAAGAGACAACTTCCTTTAGGTTTCTCCCGTTGATGGTGCTTGTTGGTGGTGGTGGTGGTTGGGTATCTTCATCACCTCACTCTTCTCTACGTTCACCTGAAGCAAGTTCCGTCTTCGCTGCCTCGCATCTTCTGCCAACTTGTTGGTTTTCGCCCGTAAATCTTCGAGTTTGTGTGACAAGACATTAGGCATACGTCATCATCGGTGAAATTCAAATCTTCGAGGGTCTTTTCATCGGCTTAACGGCGTATGCCCCTCTTTTCACTCCTCACAGTTGCCTGTTGCATGATCCAGTCCAGTCGACCACAATCAGGAAGATCATCAGTGGTGGTAGTAGGCAACGTTGTCTAACTCCTGTCTTCACTTCAAAGTCATCACTCAGCTTTCTATTGTGAATGTAGCATCATATAGCATATAGCTGTTGCAGCTGAATGAGGTTGATAAACGTCAGGTTCGTAGCACCAAAACCGTAGTGTTGAAGCACTTCCCAAATTACTTTTCAGCTGACGCTATCGAAGACCTATTCAGAGGGGATGAAGTGGAGGTAGAGAGTTGAATGCCATTTTATGCTCTGTTCAGTGATAATACGAGACGTAGCATTGCAACTTGATCCGCACATCATTTGTAGTTTCTGAAGCTAGCCTGTTTCGGTCTTAATTTTCAATGCAAAGCACTTTTTAGTCTCCCAGGATGATGCGGTCAAATATTGGGCTCGGAGTGGACAGGAGCATGATTCCGCGCCAATTCTTGGAAAGACTTCGGTCACCCTTCTTTGAAGTTTGACAATGTAGCCCTTCTTCTAATCGGCATGTACCTTTCCTTCCTTCCTTTCTAGCCTTCTGTAAAATTGATGTGAGCATGTTTGCTGATATCTCTGCGTCTGTTTTCAGTGCTCCTAGCGGAATTCTATCTGATGCTGCTGCTTTCCGGATTTCAGCAACTTTATGGCGTTCAGAACTACTTTTGTCGGAAAGCTTGTAGTCACTAACTGGTCGATTTAAGAGTTTTTTGAAGTAGTCAGCCCATCGTTTCCTTTGTTTCTCCTCTTTTGTAACTAAGTTCCCTTCACTATCTTTCATCGCTTTCATCTGTGTTAATCTCTTTCCAGATAGCAACCTGGTTATTTGATATAGCCTTGTCAGGTCTCTCCCACCTGCAGCCTGTTCTGCTTCACTTGCCAATCTGTCGTAGAAGTGTCTTTTGCCTTTGCGCACACTCTTCTTCACTCCACTGTCCAGTGTGGTGTTCTATAGGTTGTGTTCAGTTCCTCTTTTCGTTGTTCACCCCTGCACTGCACTGCACTGGTTCATCTTCTGCTTCACCATCTTCCTCTCTCTCCTCTCCTCTATCAGTTTCCATGTGTCCGTAGAGATCCATTCCTTGTCTTGTCTCTTCTTCCTTCCTAACACGCTTATGCAGGTTTCCTTCCATGTCACTTTCACACAGTTCCAATGTTCTTCCACACAGGTTTCTTCAGCAATGTTGCTCAATGTCTCACATTTTTTCCTCATGACCGACGTGGAGATGTCCTTTGTAGTTTCGTCCTTCAGTTCAGTTCAGTTTCTGTTCTGGGTGTCCAACTTGAACTGTGGTCGCCTATCACCAGCTTCTTTGAATTGAAGGCTTCAACTTGATTTTCAAGGCAGGTTCCTTGCACTAGATGGTGAGTGGTGTGAACCACCTACATCTGCTCCCCTTCTTCATCTGATCTCCTATCCAGTAGGCTGCGTCTC